CACACACACACACACACACACACACACACACCTCACTCTCTCCCCCTCCATCTGACCCGGCCCCCCTCCCCCAGGCCCCCGTGTGATGGTTGACGCCACCCTGCTGCCCAACGGCAAGGTCATCCTCGTCAACGGGGCCAAGGTGATGACGCGGGGATGACATCTGGTGGTGATGTTTGGCTTATTTGTATGACATCACGGGCGATGTCGCGTCGCCCCTGCTGAATGACGCCCCCTCTCAGTGGAGTGCACTCAGCCAGCAACGGCGGCGCCGCAGGGCCGCGGGCAGGGGTGATTTGAGAAGCTGCAGACGGTTCCTGGGCCCAGGGCGTCCTCTTGTTGATGTTATCAAGATTCACCAGCACCAGGCTCACTACGCCTGCTAGCACCGACTCCTCTTCACACACGCCCGCCCGCCCGCATTCCGGTCAAACGGTCAACCGCAGTCCGGCAACTCAAACAACGGCGGCCCTGGTGGTGGCGGGCAGGCGCGCGACATGGAGGGCCACGCCTGGCTGTATGATCCCAAGGTGGGGGGCACTGGGGTTGGCAGGATTCAGGGTTTCAGATTTAGGGATGCTACTTGAGTTAGGGTTCAGATATTCTGGGATACTGCAGCCGGGGTTTCAAACGGACGATGCGGATACGCAGAAAGTGCGCACGCACGCCGGCGGTGCGCATTAGCTCGGAGAGCAGGGAGGCGCTGATGGGGCAGCCACTGCCAGCTGGCCGCTCGCCGGCAGAATCCCAGTAAAAGGCGCGACGCAGGGCCTGCGATCTCAACCGATGACAGGCCTGGCCGCATCGTTCAAACAGCTCCTTGGGCGCTGACGAACAGCGTCGCCTGCCTGGTTGACGGAGGCGCCAGCGCAGCCTGCCAGATCTGCGGGCCCTGAACCGCGCCCCCTGCGCTCGGCTGACGCGCACGCTTGCGTACTCCTCCTCCCCAGGCCCCCGCAGGCGGGCGTTTCTCCGTCCTGGCTGCCAGCGCCATCAAGCGTTTCTACCACTCCACCGCCATGCTGCTGCCCAGCGGGGACCTACTAGTCATGGGCTCGGAGCAGAGTGAGATCCTTGTTATCTTGAGCAGCTCTTGGGGTCGAGTGTTCAGGGTTCAGTATTTGGTGTCTGGGGGATCTGAGCTGTTCGTGGAGCCGAATCCTGTCCATCCCTCATGCCAGGGAGCTGCCTGTGTGGTTGGCAGGGGCCGCTGACGCGCAAGCGCTCTGCTCGAGCGCCCCGCGCGAGATGCGGGATCACAGGCAGCGGTGCGCGGGCACGAGCCCGAGCTGCAGCGGCGCCAACACTCGCGGCCGGGCCTGAGGTGGCCCCTCGGTTTTGCTTTGCATCCGCAACTCTGAACACACCGCACATGCTTACTCTCCACCCCATCCCGCCCGCCAGCCAGCCACACCCCAGCCCTCACACACACGCCCGCGCGCGTGCACACACACACACACACACACACACGCACACACACACACACACGCTCACACGCACACTCACACACACACACACACACACACACACACACACACACAGATGACTGCCTTGATGCCTGCATCCAGTTCAACCCGGCGGTAAGCATTTGCAAAAGCCCAGGGTTGGTCAAGGGTTCAATTCGCGGGATTTTGAGGGACGCCGCCCGCACGCGGGGGACTGCTGAGGTCCTCGCCCCACAGCCGCCAGCAGCAGCATTGTGCCTTGGCTGCATGCGGCCGCCCGACGGCCGGCGGGGCCGCCCCTGTCGCCTGGCGGCTTTACTACAATGCGCCGGGACCCTTACTGGCTCCCTAGGACCGCCTTCGTCACCCAGCACTCCTGGCCCAAATCGCCAACCACTTTAAGCCAACCCAGCACTCCCTGAACCACTATTCCTGCTCTTCACCTTCCCCCAAAAAAACCACCCGCAGCTGCACCAATTCCAGGCGGAGCTATTCAAGCTGCCCTACGCCTTCGCCCCCGGCCGCCCCATCATCACGGGCACCTCCACCGAGGTGGCACCCATGGGCACCGATGTGAGGGTGTCATACCTGGGGTTTGTCACCGGCGCGGTCTTGATGACGCCGGGCGCCGTCACCCACCAGGTGCGCCGCGCCGTTTGCACGCCACCGCTCGGGGCTGACCCGCGGCTCGTGCAGTCGCGACCAGCATTGCCTGGCTTCGGCTGCCTGCGCTCTGCGCCCCGCCTTGTCGACGCCGCCGCCTCGCCCAAGCCCTGGCATCGAAGGCCGTGGCGTGTGCGCCGTGGCGAGCACGGCCTTGGTTTGGAATCCCCTTCGGGGGTCTGCGGCGCGGTGCCGAAAAGGGAAGCTCAGAGCGCTGCGCTTTCTGGTCAGCTGCCGCCCAGCCCTGCCCCTCACAGCAGCCCCTCCTCCTCAAAACACACGATCCTGCAGCTCAACATGAACCAGCGCGGCATCAAGCTGGTCGTGGCCAAGAACGAGAACGGCGTCGTCACGCTCATCATGCCGCCGCCCGGCGGTTTGATCGCGCAACCCGGCTGGTGAGTGAAGAGCATTCCGGGGGCATCTGCAGCTGCCGCCCACCCCCTCAGCGTATGCAAGACGCCACCCGCTCCGCACATATCCAGCAGATGTACATCCTTTTTATTTCAATTTTTTGGGGGTCGTGGAAGGATGACCATCCCCCTGGAGGGAAGCTTGGGATGCATTCGATGGAAGTTTGCGACTCATACGATTCAGTCACATCCAAGGCGATGCTTCTGACAAATGTACGAGCAGCCGCCGGCCCAGCTTCAATGTGCCGCACCTGAAGCCCCAAATTCTGCAACATTTATCTTTTTGGCCGCCGAACAACCCCTCTGAAACCCCTCCTCGGCAGGTACATGCTGTTCCTCCTCAACGGCGACCTGCCCTGCACCAAGGCCTCGTGGGTGCAGCTTACGTCATAAGATGACATCATCATCACAAGACGCCCCCAAGAAACCGCTCCAAAAAACCGCTCCAAGAAACCGCAAGAAACACATCCTCATGACAACTTACTTGAAATGCCTTCCCGCCCCCAAAAAGCACCTCAGCCATGCCACGCATCTGTCGGGGGTGTAGGTTTTCGCACCGGCGTTCAATATGCGCCTCTCAAGGGACCCGACACACTTTGGGATGCTGCCAGCACCATGACCTTCTCCTGGCTAGATAGCGACAGGGCTAGCTCTCAAGACCTCCCTGATCATAGTACTAGAGGGATTTCCAAGACTCCCCTCGCAGCCAACCCATACCCTAATACGACAGCATTGTTCTTTCAAAGCGAGCACGCGGGGCCGAGCGCAGAGCCACCTCAATGGCACTCGCGCCCCTTCCCGCGAGCGAGGGGCGCGTGTTGAGTTCGCTTGCCTGCACTGCCCAATCACAACACCCATTGTGCCCGTTGCCGCGGTCAGCGGATGCCACTTCTGTGCTGAACACCCTGCCTTTACTTTTTGGCCAATTGCCCCACACAAGCCTCCCGGCCGCAGTTATGCATGCTGCGCGCGCTTTGAGCTGTGAAGCTGCTGCTGCTGTGAGCACAATTTTTCGTGGCTACTCTTTCTTACGTTCGCTGCTGCAAACGCATTGACGTTTTTCGTCATGGCTGCTTCGCACGGACTCTGCTGTGAATAAATATTACGAATAGCAGAGCCTCTTCAGGGACTGGTGGGTTCGTGATGACCTTACTATCGACATGGCGTGTGGTGCCGGGGAGCCTAGGGAGCGCGTGTGGCGCTGCAGGTGTAACAGGTGCGCGGCTGGCGGCGGCTACAGCTTGGGGGTGGGGGTCGCTGTCATGCAGCCTGGGCTGCAGCGGGGCAGCGGGGTCCACCCGGGGACAAGCCGGGCGCGATGTGTGCCGGGCATTGCAATTCCCAGGCGCAGCGATTTGGCAAGATGGTCCCAGAGGATACGTACTGGGTGCCGCCATCCAGCTGAACATGACACCGCACACCCTGTGCTCCGAACCACTTTGATAAGACCCCAAGGGCTTACAGCGTGGCAGGCTGGGAGTTGGTTCGCAGCGCATCAGTGATCAAAGTCAGTTTGAGTCGCCATTGACATGCCCTGCGATGGCACGACCGTCAATATTGGGTCATGATTACTTCAGTATATCTTGATTACATGTGTCCATCGAGAAGTGATTAAAATGAGTCACGCGCTGGGTGATCTTGCTGTGAGAGCTCACGGAGGGTCTCGAGCAATACAAAGCTACGCAAGCAGAGTGACTGCAATACATAGATAGCGCCAAACGCGTTGTATCACGGTAAGTCCAGCCGCAGGCAGGTTTGCGTCCGCCAGCCTGTCGCGCTCACGCACGCCCGCCGCGTCGCGCTCTCACACGGGCTTGCTTTCTGCTGGCGACGACCCACCCCCTTCCTGCAGCACCAGGACAGACCTGCGCGCATGGGCAGCGCCGCCGCGCCCACGACCCCTGCGGCGACAGCGAGCCCGGACGAGTTCCAGCGCGCCCAGCTGTCGAAGCACCTGTTGCTCGCCTCTGAAAGCGGCGCTGCCCCGCTCGTCGCGCGGCTGCTGCGGCAGGGCGCAGACGTGAACGCGCGGGACGAGGGCGGCGGCGCGGCGAGTGAGCGCTACTCCGCCGGTTACACCCTGGGCCGGACGCCCCTCATACGCGCGGCGCAGCAAGTGAGTGTGCCTGGGGGCAGGGGCTTTTGAGGGTGGAGCGCCGGCGCTGCTGTGCACGGGTTGTGCAGGCTCCAAAGCGCGAAGCCAGACACGCAACCTTCATGCCTGGAGTACAGCACATTCGCTGCAAGCGGCGGTGATGATGCCATGGGGGCCCTGTGGATGCTCCTCTCCGCGGCCATGGTCTCACCACATGCAGGCACAGTCTCCGCAACATCGCAGGCACACACACTTGAAACGCATGCGCACACGCACGTGCACACACGCACGCACGCACGCACGCACGCACGCACACACGCACGCACGCACACACGCACGCACGCACGCACGCACACTCACACACACACACACACACAGAGCACACACACACACACACACACACACACACACACACACACACAGAGCACGCACACGTGCACAAAACACACACAACACATACACACACATGTATGAACACAAACGCTGCCCATCAGGGTCACCTGGAGGTCGTGCGCGTGCTGCTGGCCGCGGGGGCCGACACACAGGCCGCAGACGACGACGCCTGGACTGCGCTGCACTGGGCGGCCAACAACGGTAACGACCGGGGCCGGGCGGGGGGCCCAGGGGGAAGGGGGTGATGGCCACGGCTTTGGGTGACCGACTGCCAGGCCCTGGGGCCCCGTCACTCAAGCCGAATCACCCCCGACAGTCACTGTTGCTGTGGGCTGAGGGTACCCCACCTCTTGTTTCAAAAAAGCCTGAGTGAATGTCACTCTGAGCACTCCACCCACCCGTCCGCGAGCATGCACCCACGCCACCGATCCGCGCGCCACGCGACCCCGTCCCCTAAAACAAACCCAAGGCCACGCGGGCGTGCTGCGCCTGCTGCTGGGCGCCGGCGCCCACCCCGACCCGCGGGACCACGAGCGCCGCACCCCCCTGATATACGCGTCCATCCAAGGGCACAAGGACGTCGTCGCAGCACTGCTGACGGCGGGCGCAGCGGCGGCGGCGGCCGACCGTTTCGACAAGCGGGCGCTGTCGCTGTCTCTCGAGCACTCCAACAGGCAAGCGCTTTCACCTGTTTCTCTCCCCTGCTCGCATGTTGGTGTGCGACGGACCAGATTTTGAATCCCAACCACCATCCCAATGCTGGTCCCCGGGCTCGCTCGCCCGCCCGATTTCTGCTGGTGGGCGGGGCCGCCCGCGTAATTGGGGCGCGACGGGCTGCCGTTTCAGGGGAAGCAAAATGGCCCGTGGCGACGTCGAATGGCACGACTAGCAATCTCAGCGGCTGGCTGTTACGTCGTTGTGAAGCCCGCCTGACACCGCCGAAAACCGCCGCGGTCGGCCCGCGCAGCGACGTGGCGAGGGTGCTGGAAGCTGCGGAGCAGCAGCAGGCGCGCGCCGGCGGGGCGGCGTCGGCGGAGCAGGTGGGCGGGCGCGGGCGCGGGGGCAGCGCAGGTCCCCTGGTCGAGGGGCTGTGCTGCGGGGCTGACGGCGGCGGCAGAGCACAGGCGGGCATTGAGCAATTACGCGCATGTGGTTCTAGCTGCTGGCTTGCGTTGTGACGAAATCAACTTGAAGAGCCCTCACGAGTCGAGCCCCCCTCGGATTGCTGGCCCCCGCCTCGCCCTCTGACGTCGAAATCGCCCCGCCTGCCCACATGCACACAACTGTCTATGCACACCCTCCTTCTCCCCCCCCCACCCCGCGGGGGCTGGCTGTCGTCGATGCCTGCCCCGTGCAGGCGGCCGCCCTCAGGCGCGAGCGCGACGAGGCTGTGGCGCGCTGCGGCGATCTAGAGTCCGAGGTTGCGCGGCTCAGGCGGCGGCTGGCGGCGCTGCAGCCGGACGGCCCGGCTTGAGCCCCGGCGGTTTGTTGCTGTTCAGTGTTGTTCGGGGATACGATCCTATGAGACCGCTGTGCAAACAGCGTTTATTCCCCTCCGTCTCCGCTCGCAACAAAACAACCGCATACTTGTTTTATGGAGAGGTTGCTTAACCAAGCCAGACCATCTGGTTGCTGCGGCGTGCCTTGCACTGGCGCGCAGATGCAGCTTTTATGGGCACGCAGGCAGGGGTTCACGGCCAAACTCACCAGCACATGTCGCACAGGGCAAGGTTCGGCGTGGCGCCGCTGATCGTCACTTTGCAATGGCGTATGTATGTCATGTGGAGTGGACCCAGTGCATCAGCGTTTCTGGTGTGTGCGATGCCTGCCTGAAGTTCGTGTGCTGATGGAGGGCTCTTGAGCACTTGGTGCAAGGCAAACCGCGATGCCGCCAGGTTCCTTTATTCAACCAGCCGGCCTCCGGCGGGCCTGGTCAGCGCAGGTTGGGACTGCACTGGTGTCGGTGGAGCGACCCAGCGCAGCCGGGCTGCGGCGACTGCGCCACATGGGATGCACGGCCTGGCCAGCACAGTAGCGCGGGGGTTAGCACCGCACCTGCCCAAGATGCCGACGTCGCCATGCCGTCTGTGCTGCCGACCTTGTCGCCCCTTCCAGATTGCGCTTTCAGTCCCACCTTCCACCATCTAATTGCGCTAGGGCTCGAAGCGATCGCCAGGAGAAAGGGAGATCATTTCACGATCTCGCAGCTTTCAGCGGGATGGGTCAGTCCGAAACAGGCGCTTCTCATACAGCTACAGTCTCGGTTGTGGAGGATGCCAAGCAGGCCGCGACGGGAGCAGCGGAGGCCGTCGACAAAGGCGTGACTGAGGCCTCGAAGGCCGTGCGTTCTACCCTCGCCTGGCTGTTCGCAAGAGGTCAAGAAGGCGTAGATGTAGGCAGCAGCGTGCTGGAGAGCTCCAAGGTGGGCGCACTCACCCGCTGCAGTTGCGACATGCCAGCAGGGTGGGGCGCCGCACATGCAGCCCAGCGCCGGAAGCGGCGACCACCTTGCTGCCCGCAGCCCTAGGTCAGAAATGTGTCTGCATCCTATCAAGCTGGATACTAGTTGACATCCTATGTGCCCGAGCGTCCGATGACGCTCGCAAATGCCGCCCTGATGGCGCGAATTACTTGCGCCGTCATGCACAAAAACAGGTGCAGGTGGACGAGGTTGTGGGGGCCCTGAACCGCCAGCAGGACAAAGCCTTCCGAGTACTGACAGGTGGGACTATCCTGCCGCCGCCTCGGCCGCTGCCGCCGCTGCCGCCGCTGCGAGTTTTCCCCGAGTCGGCCCTCAGTTTTGCAGACCTGCTGCGTGGGGCGACGCACCCCCTCTCTGCGGCACGGGCAGCCCGCAAACCCCAACCTTTACACAAGCACCCCTCTGCACATCTGATTGCCTGCTTCTCTTGGTATCGAACGCGACAGACGGTGTGGAGTATCTGATTGTGCATCCAGAGGTTGGATACCCACTGGCGGCAGCGGCGGCGCTCGCGGCCGTGCCGCCGCTGCGGCGGCTGCTCTATCGGGCGACCATCGGGCGCCTGCGGTCGCCAGAGGTGGGCGCCGCGGACGCGGCCTCGGGGGAGGGGCGTTGCGGAGGGTAGGCGCGAACAGCGTGGGGCCCCCACATTGAATAAAAACCGACACGCCAGGAGCTAGTCAGTACAGGGGTGTGCCGCCATCTGCATTCAGCCGCGCCGCCGGCAGCGCGGGGCTCGCTCCGACGCGGCGTGGCCGCGGCCGCGGCGGCCGGGTCAGCGCGCAGCGCGGCAGCCGCGCGGCGCGGCCGGCGTCCCTCCCTGCGCGCGGGCCCGCCCCTTCCAAGGTCTGACCTCGTTGCGCCTCCCCGCGCGTCGGCAGGCGGTGGTGGCCGGCGCGGAGCAGCGGCTGGGTGTGCTGGGGGCGCGGATAGAGGACTACGGGAAGGAGGCGCAGAAGCTGCAGGTCTGGGGCTTGGGGCTCGGGAGGGGGGGCCGGGGCGGGG